TGGTGACAGGGGACAGTGAGCAGACCCTCGCTCTCTGGGAGAGATCTGGGGTTGCCGGGGCTCAGCCCACATTGGATTCTGGAACCTTCCTCCCTGCTCCAACCCCAGCTCTGAGGAGCCCGTTGTCTAGCCAGGCCTGGGCTGATGTCGGTTCTTTGGTGAGTGAGACAGGGCAGAGGGGCTGGATGCGGCCTCCAGGAGGGAGGCTCCTGGCAGGCCCGGGGTGGCCCCGAGCGGCCCTGGGGGTCACCCCCGCCGGCTTGGCCCTGGAGTGGGTGGGGAGCCCCTTGCCTGAATTATAAGGGGTCTTGCGGGTTCGCTGGTGGAAGGCCAAGGAAGGGCAGGGAACGGAGGCAGAGATTCAGATTCATGTGGGCAGCAGCCCTGGGCCCGGGTCCGAGTCCCCTGCCCCGTCTCTCGCGCCTGCACGTGGGCATGGACAGGGCGGAGGGCGCCTGAGGATCCGTGTCTGGCCCTGAGCACCGCAGGGGTGGGGGCGGCCGTGCCCCCCACCCGGGGCCTTCCTCATCCTTCATCGGGACCGCTGTCCCTGCTCACCGCCGGCAGCTTCTTGGTTTCCCATCGGGCCTCAGTTTCTACGGAGGGGAGGAGGAACAAGCAACCTGTAGAGGAACCCAGCTCCCGGGCATCCGGGGCAAACAGATGCAAGCGGGAACGGGCCGAGAACAGCTGGTCCCAGAGTTAGACACATGCCTGGAGTTAGGGCCCCCGGAGTCAGGAACCTCCAGAGTTAGGGCCCCCAGTTAGGGCCCCAGAGTTAGGGGTCACAGAGTTAGGACTCCCAGAGTTAGGGACCCCAGAGTTGGGGACCCTCAGAGTTAGGGACCGCAGAGTTAGGACCCTCAGAATTAGGGACCTCCAGAGTTGGGGGCCTGGAGAGTTAGGGACCCCATAGCAGCTTGTCAGGTCATGGGTATGTCATGAGGCGCTCGAAAGGGTTTGTTTCTCCTCTTTTTTAGGTGTGTTTGTTGGGGTGGTGTCACACCCAGCGATGCTCAGAGGTTCCTCCTGGCTCTGTGCTCAGGAATCACTCGTGTTGGTGCTAAGGGGACCCTATGGGATGCCAGGGATGGAACCCAGGTCGGCCTCCTGTCTGGCAAACAGGCGGTCTGCCTCCCTGCTGTGCTCGGGCCTGACAGAAGGAAGCTGTGCCCCCTGGGATGTGGTCTGCAGAGCCGTGAGGGATGGTGCGGGAAGGCCCTTTGCTTTGTAAGAATCAAGGTTGGTTTTTTTTTTTTTTTTTTTTTTTTTACAGCTGGTTTTTACATGCATCCTGGCAGCTCTTGTTTAAAGGTTAATTGAGAAACTATAAGGAGAATCGACTTTCTAATGGGGGGGGGGGGTTGCTACATTTAAGTAATAATTTAAGTCATCTTAAGGTTGTGACAGGCACTTTATAAAGCCGAGGCTTAAGCATTAAGGCTCAGCCTCCCCCCCTGGCCCACTGTTCACTGTTGCGGCAAAGCAGATCAAATGCATTAATTAAATATTTGGGAAGTGCCAGGCCCATTCTTACTTATTATCTCGCGTGAGGTTGACATCTTGGCAATCTCTGAGAACAAAAGGATCCTCCGAAAATGGGGTTTGCGCTTTAATTTATCAGCTGGATTACATAGAGCTTTAATTTGTCTTCTTCCCCGAACCCCCAGCAGGAGGGGAGAGCCTCGGGGCCCTTCCTGTGGCCGGTGACACCTTCCCTGTCCCCACTCAGGCTGCCTGGCAGGGAGGTTGGAGCTGTCTGTCCCTTCTATCTCTTCCTGGGCTGGCTCCATTGCCCGGCACTCGGGGCAGGGCGCCTGCTCTCCCAGGCCGAGCTGCCCTGGATGCTCTGGGGGAGCATGTGACCCAAAAAAGCAAAAAATAAACAAGAGAAAGGACTGGGTCCTCCCTGCCTGTCACAGGACGCTGCCAATGTGCGGGTGTGGGCTGCCCTGACTCCAGCCCTGAGCGTCTGCCTCTCCGATCTTCATCTTGTTTGTGTTTTGGGTTACACCCGGCGATGCTCGGGGCTTCCTCCCGGCTCTGCACTCAGGGGTCCCTCCCAGTGGGGCTCAGGGTGATGGAACCCGGCATGACAGCGCCCTCTGCGCTGGCTGTACTGTTGGCCGCTCACCTCGGGGCACCAGAACCTTGGCCCTGTGGAAGGCCTCCTTTGTTTGCTCTGTGCCCCTGGGTGCTGGCGTGGCACCTGGGAACCTTCCACCGGCTGGAGACTAGTGTGTACCACAGCCCCAGGCCAGCACTAAGGCCCCTTTTCACAGCAGCAGAAGCTGAGGCCCAGAGAGGTCAAGCAACTTCTCTGGGTCAACCAGGTGGCAACTGGCAGGCGGGGTCAGCAGTCCCCAAGGCTAGCGTAGCCTCCAGACCACGGCTCACACCTCCAGCCTGCCCCTGGCACCTTCCTGCCCCCCTCCCTCCCCGCCCCCCAGCTCTCCCTGGCAGGCAGGTGATGGGGACCCCCGGGGAGTTGGCCACTCTCTGCCGCTCCCAAAATTGAATGTCTTTCACTTACTGGCTCTGGGAGCCTGAGCACAATTTATTGAGCCGCCTTAGAAGTATTCAGGAGGTCTCTGCGCCTCCCAGGAGAGGGCTGGAAATGCGTAGCACGGGGTCCCCTTCCAGCCTGGGGGGGGGGCCTGCATGCTGTCCCCCACAGCGCCTGACCCCCCCCCCGGGCTCCCGGTGGCCAGTGCGTGAGCAGTGCCAGAGACGGGTCCTCATGGGGGACCCTGAGCTCAGCCCCTTCAGTCCTTGCTCCTGGATCCTGGGTCCCTCCTGCATTTGGTCAGGCCGAGCCATGGCCACCCCGCCCCCCGCCCCCGCCAGGTGACCGTCCTGTGATGTGGGCAGGTAGACGGGGACGGGCCCAGGGCGGTGGGGTTCCGAGGACTGTCCTTCCGCTGACGTCCCTTGGCCGGGAAAATCCTGAGGTCAGTGGAGGGGGGCTTCTGACCTCGGCAAGGGCCCGATGAGGTGGGGGGGGGGTGGCAGGAGGCCCTGCACGCTCAGGTGTGATCTGGGGGAGGGCGCGAAGGAGCCCCGGGGTGTGCCTGGCAGGCCCAAGAGCTTTTTCGTTCTCCCTGGCGCTCCCTGAGGCTGGAAGGAGACCCCTCAGACACCCGCTGAAGCGTGGAGGCCCGGCCCTGCCCTGTCCCCAGGCTTCCTGTGTGTGAGCCTGTAGGGGGCAGCGGGGCCTCTGGGGCCAGCCCACCACAGGGGGGGCGGCTCTCTGTGCGGAGATGGACTAGTGATGTCTGCCAAGCAGCAGGTGGACAGGGGTCTGCCCTGGGGAGAGAGAGGGAGGGGGAGGGGGGAGGCCAGGACCACTCTGGTTCTGGGCCCGGCCTGGGGGTGTGACTGCAAGTTTGATGTCCGTGGACCTCTGGACTGAAGCTTGCGTCTCTTCTGCCCTCGTCTCCAGCCCAAGCTCCTGGCCCAGCTGACGGCGGGCGAGTGGGCACCTGCGGCCGCCTCCCCTCTCCAACTGCCCGAGACCCCGGGCCAGGCGGCCACTCAGCCCCCCTGCCCCCGTGCTTGTCATTGTTGAAGCCCCTCTAGATGGTTTCAGCTGGGGGCTGGCAGCTGCGGAGGTCAGGACCGAGACGGCCGCGGTGGCAGAGGCTGGGCCGAGGTGGGCGGAGGGCGCGTGCCATGTCCCCCTTCCTTCCCCACGTCGTGCTCTCGGCCTCAGGTGTCCTCGGCTCAGCCCTGGGACACGCATTCCGGGACTTGCCTGCCTGACCGGAGTGTTTCCCTGGATGCTGCTTTTGCTGTGGGAGACGGTGCGTCCCCTCGGCTGTCCGGCCTGTGGCACCGTCCTCGGGGTCTTTTCTTCGGAGCCCACGTGTGTGCCTGTGCCACAGTCCCCCCATAGGGCACCCGCGCCAGGGCCACAGCCTGTTCCCGGGCGGGCGTTTGTTCCAACCGGTGGCAGGTCCGGCCGGGGTCTGCTGGGGACCCAGGGAAGGAGCGTGTGGCTTTAGCCCGGGGTGGACAGGAAGGCGTGAGGGGGCTGGGAATTTAGGAGTTAGCCCTGAGCACTGCCGGGTGTGACCCCCGGGCTATAAAATACAGAAAACTTAGGACGTCCAGGGAGACCTTTTTTTTTTTTTCTTTTTGGGTCACACCACTCAGGGATCACTCCTGGTGGTGCTCGGAGGACCCTGTGGGACGCCAGGGATCAAGCCTGGGTCGACCGTGTGCACGGCAAATGCCCTCCCCGCTGTGCTATCACTCCGGCCTTTGAGTGTCCTCAGAACCTCATAGATTCCTGGTTGTGCCACCTTGCTTCTCTGGGATGATGGGAGCCGCCGGTGGGCCCAGCACGCTGCTCAGCCTAGAGCAGACAGGAGTTGGGTGTGAGCTGGTGGCAGCCAGGGAAGGCCGCCTGGAGTGCGGGAAGGGGCGTCTCCCCGCTGGGCTGCCTCACTGACGGCTGTGGGACGCGGTTCCAGCGACTGTCTGCCGACTGTCTCTGCTTACCCCGGCCCGTGGGGCGGCTGCACCTTCTAAGGTGGGTCTGCCTGTTCCGACGGGGGGACTCGGACAGCTCCTGGGAAACGCCGTGTGACCGGGTGCTTCCACGTTTCGTGCATTTATGGCAAGTCGTTTCAGCACCTTTCTCGGCCCCCACTACAGGAAAATAAAACAAAAACAAAACAAGGAGGCGGAGGGAGCTGCTGGGCCTGGGCAGAGTTGCTCCTGGACAGTGCTCCTGCTGTGAGGGGCCGCTGACCCAGGACTCAGGACTGGCCTGGGCGTGGGGTGGGGGTCGGCACTGGGGGGTCCCGCTAGCCCGTGCTCCCCAGATGCAGACAGGGCGGCTCGGTGTGCTCTCGGCAGGGGGCGGGAGACGCAGCAGCATGCTGTTGTGTGTGTGTGTGTGTGAGTGTGTGTGCATGTCTGAGTATATATGTGAGTTGTGTGTGCGTGTGCGTGTGCTGTCCCGGCATGGCAGGGGACTCGCTGGTGTGTTGCAGGTGGCCGAGATGCACGGGGAACTGATGGAGTTCAGTGAGCGTCTGCACCGTGCGCTGCTGGCCAAGGAGGCCCTGGTGGCCCAGATGCGGCAGGAGCTCATCGACCTGCGGGGGCCCGTGAGTGTCGCCCCGCCCGGGAGAGGGGGAGGCGGGGGCGGCTCTGGGGTGTCCCTGACGAGGGGCTTTGCCCGCCAGCCTCTCCGCCTGTTGCCTCTTCTCTAGTGTGAGGCTGAGCGTGCGTGAGAGCGTGTGAGTGTGTGTGTATGTGTGTGTAAGCATGTTGCATGCATGTGTGTGCTTGAATGTGAGCATGAGGGTGCGTACGTGTGGAGGCGTGTGTGTGTGATCATGAATGTGTGTATGTGAGTGGGGGTGTGGGGGGAGCATGTGAGTGGGTTTATGCATGTCGGAGAGCATGTGTGTGTCTCTGTGCTTATGCATGTGTGTTTTGTGTTTTTACATGTGCGAGCATGTGTGTGTGTGTGTGTGTGTGTGTGTGTGTGTGTGTGCGCGCGTGCAGCGTGCCTCAGTCCTAAGCACAGACTCCAGCCCCTCTTTCTCCCAGAGGACCCTGTTCCTGAGGGAGCCCCTTCGAGTGCCCTTTCCCGGGACCCCTTCCTGTCCTCCAGAAGCCGCTTTCCTCCCCGCATCCTCCTGATGGGGGTGGGGCTGGGGGCCACGGTACGCACCGCCCAGTGCCCACCTTCCTTTGCTCCTGCCCCTCCTGCCGGCAGGTGCCCGGGGACCTCAGTCAGACGTCGGAAGACCAGAGCTTGTCGGATTTTGAAATGTGAGTCCCGGGTGGGGCGTGGGTGCCCCCTGTGCCTCCTGCCGCTTGGCCAGGCGGGAGGGGTTCCCGCCCGCAGACAGACCGGGCGTCTTATCTTTCCCTTCCGGGACTGGGAAACAATTGGGTTTTTTTTGGCTGGCATTTCAGACAGAGCCCATAAAAATGTAAATGTCCCTGTTTCCTCTGAAAAAAGCCTCCAGTCCCCTCAAAGCTGGTCAGCTGCCCCCAGCCGCCTGCTGGGCCCAGCCTGGACCGCGGTGCCCACCCCTCCCACTGCCCCCTGGGGCCAGGGGTCTGTGTGGCCCCGTGCCCGGGGTGAGACTTGCACCCCCCAAGCCTACCCCTGTTGCTCTGGTGCTGCAGCCTGATTTTTGTGCGTTTAATTTGGATTCGAAGCTGACGCACCTGTGAACGTCAGCCTCTATTTCTGACCGGATTGGGGGTCTGGGGAAGGGGGCAGAGACACGGCTGGCTTCTGGTTCCCCCCAGGAAAGGGCCCCCAGGAGCGAGGGAGGAGGTTGGGGCTGGCCTGGGGTGGCGGGGGGCGGGGGCCCTGGGTGACCTGGCTGGCCTGCGGGTCCTCTGGGCTCAGCTGCTTGTGACCTTGGGCAGGACCTCGGCCTCTCTGGGTCAAGTTCTCCTATGGAGGGTGAAGGTCAATCCTGGATCTGCTAGGACAGGGCCCCCTCACCTACCCCACACTGGGGGATCCAGCGCCCCAGGCCCTTCCCCCATGCATAGAGCTCGGACCCCTGCCCCTCCCCGTCGCTGCGGGTGCTCTGCCTGTTGGCCTGGTCCTAGACCCTGAGCCCGGTGAGGCGCCCAGACCAGAGCAGGGTCTGTGGGGCCCCAGGGAGAGGCCGGTCCCCACAGACCCGGTGCCTCCTGTGTCACTGTGGTCACTGTCCTTTCACGTGTTGAGACAGACCCTGGCGGACTGGGGATGCTCTGAAAGGGGGACATCTGCCCCCTCCCCCAGCCCAGGCCACTCAGGGAGATCATCGCAGGAAATGTGTCCTGGTGGCCGGGTTGATGGTCCTGGGAGGCCCCCCACATCCTGACCCTCGGGGCTGCTGCTTGGAGGGACTCGCCCCAGGGCCCGGCCGAGCACTGTGGAACCTGCAGCGCTGAGACCTCCAAGTGGGCTCTGACCCTGAGCGGGCCAGTGGGTGGGGACAGGCTGCTGCAGGGCTGCAGGGAGGCTCCAGCCAGGCTGCTCCGCCCTGTGGGGTGTGGGGCCTGCTGGGCTGGCCAGGCTGTCATGGGGGGGAAGAGGAAGAGGGAGCGAGGTGGGGGAGGGGGAGGGGGAGGGGGGGGGAGAGGGGGGTGGGAGAGGGAGGGGGGAGGGGGGAGGCCCAGTGACCCCAGGTGAAGTTTAAACCTCCAAAGTGGGGCGCCCACCCCTGGCGACGAAGCTTTGGGCTGACTCCCAGCTCTGCCCTCAGGGGCCCGTCCTGGTGGATTTGGGGGGCCACAAGGGATTCTGGGGGCGGCCTCAGGGCAGCGGAGTCAGGCCAGCGCCCTCCCTGTGGTACAATTTGAGCAGAGGTTATATTTCCAGCCATACTGAGGAAAATATGTTAAAAAACAGAGAAAAAGAAAGTCGCCCCAGGGCAGAACTATCAAGAACCCAGAAGCGGAATTCCCCCGAGGGCCCGCTCTGCGGCTGGGCCAGGGTCTGGCCTGGTGGGGACCTGAGCAGGCACCCGTTTATCTGTGCCCACGCGGGTGCCTTTGGGAGAGCCGAGAGAGGCACCTTCTGGTCCCACGGCGGGCTGGGGGGCTGTTCTCCCCCTCCCCGCTGCCCCGCTGTGGGCCTCAAGGGGGCCTTGCTACCCCCGAGCTCAGAGGGAGAAACCCGGGCGCGCCCGGCTGAGAGCGCAGCACTAGCCCACCCGGCTGCCCTCTGGCCCACGGACGGCGCCCGTGAGCGTCCCCGGGGCCCAGGAGTCACGACTTCCTTCTCCGTCCTCGCCCAGATCCAACCGCGCCCTCATCAATGTCTGGATCCCGTCCGTGTTTCTCCGGGGCAAAGCGGCCAACGCGTTCCACGTGTACCAGGTAGGTGCCCCGTGCTGTGTGCGTGTGCGTGCGTGTGTGTGTGTGTGTGCAAGTTTGTGCTTGTGTGTGCATTTGTGTGTGTGTGTGCCTGTGTGTATGTGTTTTGTGTGTGCGTGCGTGCGTGGCCGGGTCCCAGGCATGGCCAGAGTAGAGGTAGAAGTGTAGGCCGTTTGCACTGTGCAGGACCTCAGAGTGGGCCTGGCTCAACCGTTCCAGGCTCGGTTGGCTCATCGGCTCACCCCAGTTCCAGAATGAGCTTCCCCGAGGCCCCCGCACCCCCAGTGCTCCTGTCCTCCCGGCCGCTTCTCTGTTCACTCCCATTCTTGCTCCTTGGCTCAGTTAGGAACGCCCCAACTCCCCAGGTTGCACCCGTCTTCCTCAGACCCAGGGAGGCCCCAGTGGGTCACTCCCACCTTCAGCTTCCGGGTTGCCTGGCTGTCTCCCTCCCTGTCTCCTCTGGGCTAGGAAGGGGCAGATGGGAGAAGGGGGGTGGGTCCAGCCCTCTGCACCGGGCGTTTGGAACTGGGCCAGCATCCCCAGTTCCAAACCAGCCGATACTCCCCCCCCCCCCCAACCAACCTTCCCCATGTGAGTTAACCTCACCTGCCGGTCCCGCAACCAATTAATTACTCTTCACAGGTCTGGCCCAAATGTTAATTGGCGGTGTTTTTATTTTGAGGATGTAAGAACGCTAAACACGGCTTTTCATCCTCCGCTGTCGAACCATATGCCCAGGGCCCCGAAATTAACGCCACCGCAGAAGAAAACATCTCGAGTGGGCCGTGGGGCTGTTCGCGCGTTCCCCGGAGAGACCTGAGGGCGTGGGGCTTGGGCCCTCCAGCGGTGGCGAGGACACTCCCTCTGTGTGTCCAGGCTGTGCTCTGGGTCGGGGCGATGGGGGTCCAGGGAGTGACCCCTGGCTCCCTGGGGGCCGTTTTCTTGCTGTCACCTGGAATCGTGGGGAATCTGCCCACTTGTCCGATGTCTTGTCAGAGAGGGAGGGCAGGAGTGAATGGGGAGGGCTGAGGGGAAGGGGGTCGGCTTTCAGCATCCCGCTGGCTGCGGGGGTGGGGGTCCTCGCTGGACGCCTGCCGAGCGGGCAGAGGCTGCGTGAGCAGTGTCGTGCAGAGCTGAGGTGGTTTGGGGACTCCGCGCTGTTCCCCTGCGCAGAGCGACCCAGTGGCGGGGATGGAGGGGGACGGCCCGCTGCCCATTCCTCAGATGGTGGAGGTGCAGACAGCCCCAACCTGGGAGCCAGGGGCAGAGACCACGCCCCACACTGCGGACCCCCGGGCTCGCGCCCCGTCTGCGGAGTGCAGCTCAGCGCTCGCCCCGTGCCCGCTGCTGGCATACAGTGCCAAGACCAGCCCTGACCTGGGGTGGGGGGGGGAGCAGACAGCGGCGTCCTGGGGGTCGCTTACAGTGGCCGGCTCCCCACGGCCTATAGGGGGCAGTGTGGAGACCAGCGGGAACCAGGGAGATGGAGCTGCTGCCCCGTGGCAGTGGTCAGCGTCGGGGTGTCCCCAGCTGTCCCTCACTCGGTGCTTGGTGCCAGGGACAGTTTCCATGGTCAGTTTCTTGACCCGGGATTGGAGATAGAGAGTTGTTTAAACGAGGCTGCCCCTAACAAGGGCTGATCTCTTTCCTGTGTGTTGGGAGGGGATTCCCCCCCACCCCCCACCCCGCTCAGGGCTCATTCCTGGCTCTGTGCTCAGGGGTCGCTCCTGGCAGTGCTGGCGGGGGCCCGTCCAGGGTTTCCGGGTTTCTGTGCTCACTTGACCTGTTCATGTCACCTCGTGCTCTCACCCCCGCGAAGAGGGGACTCGCCTGTGCCCGGGGATGGTGACTCAGAGCGCGGGGTGGGGGGCGCGGTCGTGGGGTCGTGGGGGGCAGCACTGGGGCAGAGCCGGCGCTGCTGGCCTCGGCGTGGCCTGCATGTAACCGCGTCCACCCGTGGGAAACGCTTGTGTGTGCGCACGCTTCTCCAGCCAGGGCTGCGTGTCAGGACCCCGTCTGCGGCCCCGCTCACTCCGACCGACCGCGCCAGAGCTGTGACCCCAGAGAGGCCCAGACTCCTCCCCCCACCTCGAGCCAGTTGCCGGTTCTTTCTCCCCCAAGGTGGGCGCCCACCTGCGCGCTGCCTGGCCCCCCGCGGGGAAGCCAGCAGCAGCTGCTCAAATGTCAGCGCCGTGATTTCTTGTTTACGGGATGAGTGTTTTCCTGGCCCGCGGCGGCGGAAGCAGCGCTTGGTTTTATTTCTGGGTTTGTGATAGCAACTGTGTCTGCTGATGGGGGCCGCCTCCCCTCCCCACCACCGAGCCCCCATCCCGGGCTCCCTGAGGGTGTCCCAGGCCACCTCTAAGGGCCCCTGACCCCCTCACCTTCCCAGGGCCTGATTTGTGGCCTCCAGCTGTGCGTCCGCAGCCCCCGTCTCCGGTGCCAGGGCTGGGCTGTAGCTTTGGCCCCTCTCCTCGGTGCCCTCTGGCCCGGCTCGCGCTCTCCGTGCTCCCAATGACGCCTCCCTCCGCCGCTGCTGCCTCTGCCAGACTTTCCCAGGAAGCAGCCAGACGTGTCAGACACCCGCTGCTGGGTGGGCCAAGGGCTGGCAGCAGCCTGCGTCAGGCCGGGTGGGCCCTGGGCCTGGGGAATGTGGGGAGCGGGCAGTGCCCCCGCATCCCACCTGCTTTGGCAATGGGCAGAGGGCCCTGTGGGGATGCCCCCTGTGGGGATGAGGTTCCAGCCCTTCTGTTCCCAGAGGCTCAGTGTCTCCGGGCGAAGCTTCAGGCTGGCCCCGGGCTGGGGTCCTGCTCCCAGGCCCCCCCACCGTGCTGGGTTCCTCAGGGCCACTGAGCTCTGTGCTTCGGATGTGGTCCAGGCCTTTCGCACACTGGGTCATGCTCCCAGCAGGACCCCGCCCCCTCCCTTAGGTTTCTGGGGAGAATTTGCTGCCCCCCCACCCACCGCCCCCTGGCCCTGGCACACACACACAACTCCAGTTGTGTGGAGTGTGAGGCTGGGTGTGGACTCCAGATCCTTGCCGGGTACCTCAGGGGCGGGGGTGGGGGTGGGGGCTCAGATTCTGCTTACTGCAAACAGATATTCGAATTTGAGGTGAGTTCTACTGAAAAATTCACATGGAGGGGAAGGGGGGGAGGGGAGTCCCGGGGTTGAGGTGCTCGCCTCGCGCACTCGACTGGTTCTGTCCCAGTGCTGCGTCCTTGGACCCTTCCAGTGACTTCCGGGAAGCGCCCCCAACTTGGTCTGAGAGAAGGGCCCCCTGAGGTGTGGCTCTGGGGAGGGGGCTCTGTGCTCACATGGGGGGGTGGCTCCAGCTCTCACTGCGTCGCGGTGTGTGGGTGTCGCAGAGCCTGTCGGCTTGGGAGGTTATTTCTCCCGTTAAGCCCCGGACTTTGGGTTCCCCAGCAGCGAGAGGGACAGAAACGCGAACACGATCCTGTCCAAGCAGAAGGGGTTTAATTCCAGTATCCTGGGGTCAGCCATCTCACCCACAGAGTGGTCTCTTTTATTTATTTATTGCTTTTTGGGTCACACCCGGCGATGCTCAGGGGTCACTCCTGGCTCATGCACTCAGGAATTGCTCCTGGCGGTGCTCGGGGGACCATATGGGATGCTGGGAATCGAACCTGTGTTGGCCATGTTGGCTGCGTGCAAGGCGAACGCCCTACCCGCTGTGCTATCGCTCCAGCCCCCAGAGTGGTCTCTTGATCGCGACCACGACTTCAGGCAGCAAGGAGTCTCTAGGGGTTGATGACGTAAGCAGTACCTGCCTTATCGTTTCAGAAAAGAATCTGAGTTACCAAACAGGTGTTTTGGCAAATGCCTGCGGTGACGGTGGTCAGGCAACAGTTAAACCGTAGTTTCCACGAGCAGCTTATGGTTACGTTCTTTTACTCATTCTTTTAGGTTTAATAAAAGACAATTTCTGGGGCGTAGTGATTGATTGGGTCCACTTGCTGGGCCCAGGAACTTTCCAGGTGGGTTCAGGTTGACTACTCGCATGTTGTTTCATTTGAAACCGTTTTAGTTCCTTAAGGGAACCTGAGGCCTGGCTGATTTTGCTGAATTCCGCTGCCTGTCACGGGATCAGTTTTGCCTCATGTTCCCATGTGATAAAACTTACGGGGGTGGGGAATGCAGGTAGCCCAGATACACAGTTCATTTGTTTTGGGGCCACACCTGGCGGGGCTCAGGGCTGACTCCTGGCTCTGTGCTTAGGGGTCAGTCCTGGCAGGCTCAGGGGACCACATGGGATGCCGGGGATAGAACCCGGGTCATTCGTGTGCCAGGCCGCCATCCTGTCGCCCTGACTCCCACATTCATTTCTGCTTAAAAAATAAATCCAGGGGGAGGGCCTTTGCCTTGCACGCGGTCGACCCGGGTTCGATTCCCAGCATCCCATAGGGTCCCACGAGCACCGCCAGGAGTAATTCCTGAGTGCAGAGCCTGGAGGAACCCCTGTGTATCGCCGGGTGTGACCCCAAAAAGCAAAAAAAAATAAATAAATAAATTCAGGGGGTGGGAATGTGGTTCAGTGGTTTGGGCAGGGGCCAGGGATCTGGCTCAATGGTTCGGCACTAGCCAGGCATGTGTGAGACCCTGGGCTTGATCCCTGCCACCATCCCTACTCAAAAAAAAAAAAAAGAAAGAAAGAAAGAAAGAAAGAAGAAAAGGCCTCCACATAAAGAAGGAGTACACTCACGTAGGGGGGCGAAATGATTTGGAGCGGCCTGGGGCCACACCCTCCCCGAGCCTCCCTGCCCACGGCCCCCGGGAAGAACCGGGCTCACCAGGGGCTCATCTCTCAGGATTTCTTAAATGGGGTTGAATGCTGGTAAGTTTTGTTTCTTAAGATATAAGCCTTGCCTCACGCAGCTCCTGGCGAACAGTGCTGAAGGCAAATGAGAGACTCACCGTCCCAGAGTTCTGCGGGGGCCTCAGGTGGCATCTGTGTTAGCTCCAGAAGATGCGCTATGGCCCAGGGAAACGGACCCCCGCTCCAGGGGGGGCTCTGCACACTCCTCGAGGCTGCGCCCAGGAGGCCTCGACCCTGTGTCCGCGGGGAGGATTCGCCCTGGGTGGCGGCATTTTCCGCGGGGTCCACCTCTGCGAAAAACTGGGGGGGGTCCCCGAAAAAAGCGGGCGTCGAGCTCCCTGTAGACCCCGTGAGCCCCCTTTTGGCTTCTGTCCCCCAACACCGAAACGTTCGCGCCCGCCTCTTCTCGTTGTGGCGCTCAGTGCCAGGCCAGGACGTGGGAACCACCAGACGCCTGGGACCACAGCCAGCCCTGGCGGGCCACGTCCACTGCGGAGTAACTGTGCAGTGGCTAGCGAACGTGAGCGCCAGCTGTCCGCGCTGTGGGCTGGAGCTCGGCGGCCTGAGCATCTGTCTGGAGAGGCAGCCCGGGATGGTTTCTCTCTTGTCCTTGCAGAGACCCGGGGAGGGGGCAGAAGGAGGGTTGTCAGAGCGCTCAGCTGAGCCGGGTCCTGGGACTGGGCAGGAGGAAGCAGCCCTGGCGCTGCTGGAGACCGTCCGGACCGTGTTGTACAATCCCGGTAGAGATGGGAGGGGCAGTAACTCCGGTGCAGCCCTCAGCTTCCTACTCAGCCTCCCGCAGCCGCGCGGCCCCAGATGGGGCTCTGTGAGGGGAAGCTTGTTTGCTCGAGTCAGTAGTATCGCTGTTGAATATTCAGGCGTTGACTTCCTTTTGTTACTGTGTTTGGCATATTGAATATGTCTTGGGGAGCTTGCTGGCCTTGCTGTGCGGGCGAGATGCTCTCAGTAGCTTGCCAGGCTCTCCGAGAGGAGCGGAGGAATCGAACCCGGCTCAGACGGGCTGGCTGTGTGCAAGGCCAACCACTGTGCTATCGCTGCGGCCCGAGCACAGCGGTAGGGCGTTCGCCTTACAAGCGGCCAACACGGCCGACCCGAGTTCGATTCCTCCGCCCCTCTCGGAGAGCCCGGCAAGCTACCGAGAGTATTCCATATGCCGGACACAGTAACAACAAAGTCTCACAATGGAGACGTTACTGGGCCCGCTCGAGCAAATCGATGAACAACGGGAGGACCGTGACCGTGACCCTTACTTCCTTTTGCCAGCTCCCTGGCCCCCTACCGCCACACACGGTGATTCCCAGCTGCTCTCACCCTCCACGGAGATAGGATTCTCGGGCACCCTCCGAGGTTGCCCTCTCCCAAACAAGCAAGTGAAACAAGGTTTGGAACTGTGTGCGAGCTGAGTGTAAAATGCAACTCTCTGCTTCAAAAGCATCAACAGAGACCATTTGGCCCCAGGAGAGGCTCGCCCCTCCCCACCCCGCCTTACGCACGGCGCCTGAGGAGCTTGAATAGGGGGAGCCGGGGGAGCCCCAACCTGTGCCTCCCCAGGTTTCACATTTGAGCACCTAATGCTCCTTTCTGGAACTTTCCTCGTCTCGTTCATCTGCTCACCTTCCAGCTGCAGATGGGACCCGGTGCCCAGCCTGTTCCCTGGACACTGCTCCTGGCCCAGCGGGCTGAGAGGCCTGAGCCCAGAGCCCAGAGCCCCCCGCAAATCAGCAAGTCCGGGCGCTGCTGGCCGGTGCTCTGTGGCCCACCCCTGGCCCCCGGTCTTGTCTGAGCACTCCCCCGATGCTGGCAGCCGGGGCCTCCCTGCCCCTGAGTGCTCTCCCTTCTAGAACATTCCCCTCTGGTTCGCTTTCTGTCCCAGGGCTGAGGCTGGAGAGATAGCACACAGCAGGTGGTACGGGGGTTGCCTGGCTCGTAGCTGACCCAGTTCCACCCCCCAGCACTGCATATGGTCCCCCGAGCCGCGCCGGAAGTGACCCCTGAGCACAGAGCCGGGAGTGATCCCCGAGCACTGCTGGGTGTGCCCTCCGCCCCCCTGGAATGCTGCCAGTGACTGAAAAATGTTCCTCGGGATAAGTATGCCTGCCAGTTGCTGTCCTTCCTGACCCGAGCTCCCAGGAGTTGGGGGGGGTGGCTGTCCACCCCCAACTGTGTCCCCCACGCCGCCCCGGGCCCTGAGCTGGTTACCTAGAAGATTGCTGGCTTCTTGGGGGGAGAGGGAAGATGCTGGATCTGACTGGTGTCTCGGAGGAGGCGTAGGGCCCTCAGCATGCAACGAGGGGGTCTCGGGATGGCCGGTGGGCAACCCACGGGAGCACTGAGGTCAGAGTTCGATCTGCTGAGGCAGCAGAACCAGGAATGGCAGGTGCTGCCCCCCACCCCCCGCATGGGTGGGTGGGCCGGGTCTGTGCCGTGGCCGTGGGCTCCGGGCCACTCTGATGGGTGTCCTTCCCCCCTCCCCCCCCGCCCCCGCTCGTCCACGCAGCCTGGCCGTGTTCCTTGTCCCCTTGCTCTGTGTTTGGCGCCCGTGCGTGCCCCCCCCCCCTTCCCGCCTTCGATGTGCCCCGGCATGTTGTTCTCACAATGAAGACACAGCTAATGACACACGGAGCCATTTCATTAAAAGCCGAAGTTTTGTTCGGAGACATTAACGCGGGCCGCCAGCCGGAACGTGAGTCATTTCAGCACTTGAATATGAAGGAGGCAAAACAAATTAGGAACCTGAAGCCATTTTTCTTTCTTTCCTTTTTTTTTTTTTTTGTGTGTGTGTCCTTTGTTTCTGGGCCACATACAAAGGTGCTCAGGACTTACTCCTGCCTCTGTGCTCAGGGCTCACTCCTGGAAGGCTTGGAGGACCATCTGGGGTGCTGGCAATGGAACCCACGTGGTCAGCCACGTGCAGGGCAAGTGCCCTCCCTGCTGTACTGTCGCTCTAGTCCATCTGATTTTTTTTTCTTTTGGGGTCACACCCAGTGATGTACAGGGGTTCCTCCTGACTCTGCACTCGGGAATTACTCCTGGTGGTGCTTGGGGCACCCTATGGGATGCTGGAAATCGAACCCGGGTCGGCCACATGCAAGGCCAACACCCACCCCTCTGCGCTATCACTCCAGCCCCAAATTCATCTGAATTTAACCATTTTCTTCGTCTGCATTGGTGGGTCGCACCAGGCGATGCTCAGGGCTAACTCCCGGCTCTGGGCTCAGGGATCATTCCCAGCCGGGTCCCAGGGGACCCTGCGGGGTGCCAGGATTTAGCCCCGGTCTGTGACTTGCAGGGCAAGTGCCCCCTCACCGTATGACCTCTTTGGCCTGAGTCCGCTTTTCCAGAGAGGCTTCACTGGCCTCACGTCCGGCTTCGTGTCGCCTGGCTGTCTCTGCACCTGTCACACCCTCCGGCCTCAAGACCATCGGGGGCTGGAGTTGCAGGGTGCGGGGGCCTATGCTTTGGGGGTCGCGTTGCTCTCGGCCCTGGGCTTCTGTGCATGAAGGGAGCTTTGGTGATGGCTGAGAGGTCAGGCTCGGCCTCCGGGGACAGCATCGTCCAGAGTGCGGGAGACGCTTGCTCCCTGGGTGGGCAGAGTCCTTTGGGCCCTTGCTAAGCAGCAGGAAGTTCGGAAGGGAACAGGGGAATGCTGTGGCCGGGGGGACCGCGGCTGGGCTCCCTGACACTTGGACACGGCCCTGGGCTCTCTCTGGGCATCGGTCCCGCTGTCCCCTGCGTGCCCCCCCCCAGTGTGTGTGTGTGTGTGTGTGTGTGTGTGTGTGTGTGCGCGCGCGCCAGGGCCATCCAGGCATCCGGTGGAGGGGGGAGCAGGCGGCCACCGTAAGCACTGGGGGTTTGGGAGAGCGGCGGGGAGGGTGCGTGGCCCGGCCCACGCTGTGCATTGTTTGTGTTCTGGGGCTGCCGTCCTGTGACAATTAATCAGGCATGGTAATTACCTGCTGTAATTGGTGATTGCACGTCCCCTAATTACCCCTAATTCTGTAATGGGGAGGGGCGGGTACACACCAGCAGCCGCTGCACAGAGGTGGGGGGGGCTCGGTCCCAGCAGCTGCCACTGCACCCCCCCCCCCCCCAGCCCGCCAGCCCTTAGGCCTGGCTGGTGGAGACTGGACCCGGGGGAGCCCGGGGGTACAGCCCTGAGGTCTGTGATCCTCTGGGGCGGTGGGGGCGTGCCTTGGGCAGGAGCCGACCTGCAGGGGCTGAGGGGCCCGCCCCTGGCAGACCCTCCGAGACCTGGGGCTCGAGCGGATTCTGGAAGCTTCTTTATCTTCTTTACCTGTGTGTGTGTGTGTGTGTGTGTGTGTGTGTGTGTGTGTGGTGGTAGGGGCAGGGGGTCGGGCCACACCCAGGGGCGCTGATTCTGGAAGCTTCTTTGCCTGTGTGTGTGTGTGTGTGTGTGTGGTGGTAGGGACAGGGGGTCGGGCCACACCCAGGGGTGCTGATTCTGGAAGCTTCTTTATCTGCACTCGTGCGCGCGCGTGCGCGCGCGTGTGTGTGTGTGTGTGTGTGTGTGTGGTGGTAGGGGCAGGGGGCCGGGCCATACCCAGGGGCGCTGATTCTGGAAGCTTCTTTATCTGCACTTGCCTGTGTGTGTGTGTGTGTGTGTGTGTGTGTGTGTGTGTGTGTGTGGTGGTGGTAGGGGCAGGGGTCGGGCCACACCCAGGGGCTTCAGGGCTCACTCCTGGTCTGCCCTCGGGGACAGCAGTGCTCCAGGAACTGTGCTTGACTTGATGGGTTCGGAAATCGGTCTCCCAGCCCCACCCCGAAGCCCCTCATGTCCAGGTTGCTGCTGGCTGCTGCGCTGCAGGGATGGGGGCCCCCTCGGGGCTCGGAGGGGACCCTGAGCAGCCCTCGCCTTCCTCCGCCCCCAGGTCTACGTCCGCATCCGGGACGACGAGTGGAACGTGTACCGGCGCTACGCCGAGTTCCGGGCACTGCACCACGGGCTGCAGAGCAAGTTCGCTCAGGTGCGGGCCTTCAGCTTCCCGCCCAAGAAGGCCATCGGCAACAAGGTAGGCCGCCCTGCCCGGGCCCGCCGCACGTGGCGGGGACTCGGGCTTACCAGCTCCGGCTGGCACCTCGCGGGGCTCCTGGGAGATGCAGCTCCAGGACGGGCTGCCGGGAGGAAGGGCGGGAGCAGCCTTGGCCTGGTCCTGGCTCTGGGTGGGGCAGAGCCTCCGCGGAGGGTGCAGGGTACGGAGCATCTGTGGAGAGTGCGGGTGGCAGGTGGCAGCAGGGTGCCAGGCCTGCGGGGGTGAGTTTGCTGACTGCTGCCGTGGACGAAAACGCTTCCCCTCCCCTCCCCTCCCTGCCTGTCACATTCGGAGGCGCCCTGCGGTGGGCCTTGTTCCTGGGGGGGGGAACGGTGCGCGTGTCTCTGTGCGTGTGTGTGTCTGCGTGTCTAGTGTGAGCGCGCATGTGTTATGTGCCTGTCTGTGTGTGTGCATGTGTGCCTGTGTGTGTACACATGCATCTCCGTGTCTATGTGCGTGTCTTTGTGTATCTGTATCTGTGCACGTGTGTATCTGTGTGTGTGCCCAGGTGTGTCTCTGTGCGTGAGTGTCTCTCTGTGTATGTCTGTGTGTGTGTCTGTGTGTGTGTGTGTGTACGCGCGTGCGGCATCCCCCTGCCGTCTCTCCTGCTTCCTGTGTGTTCGGCTGAAGGAGGTCAGTTTCCGGGGTGCCGAGGGCATTCTTTTCCCTGTGAAGGGGGTCGTAGGCAGAATATACTCGTGGGTCCCTCTACCCGTGGCCCCTGCCTCTCGCCTCGCCGCTCTCCTCAGGGTGTTTGTGATTCTGTGGGTCGGGAGTGCGTGGGGCCATGCGGGGGGACCCAGTCACTGGGATTTTCAGGGGATCACAGGCGGAGCACCCTCAGCTGTGCCAGACCATGGGCACAGGCGTCCTGGGACGAGGCTCTGGCCAGCGCCCCCCCCTCCCCGCGCCCCCTGCTTTGTCCACGAGTACCTGCAGCTGCCCCACTTCGCAGACGAGCAAACTGAGGCTTGGGGAGGGGCTGAGGCTGAGACCCTCTCCCAGGCCCCCCGGAAGCTGCGCCCAGCGCCGGGCGTGCGTGTGACAGTCTCCTCCCGTGCCTTGCCCGTGCCCCCTCTGTGGAGCAGGTGCTGGATTAATAATGAACAGGGTGGGGGAGATGTGGGAAGGAGCTGGGCGTGGGTTTATTTTAAGCAGCTCCAGGTGCTGCCCAGGTGGGCACGTGGCCGGGCGGGCGGTGGCAGGGTGGGGGCAGGCAGCGCGTGCTTTGCAGGAGTCTAGGGGGTGGCCGAGGGGGGCCTGGGGGCGGCCAGGCTGGGGGGCTCCCGGGGGCTGCCGCCGGCCGGGCTCGCCGTGGTGGGGGGAGGGTCCCGGCTCAGCGCCTGCCGTGCCCACAGGATGCCAAGTTCGTGGAGGAGCGCCGGAAGCTTCTACAGAGCTACCTACGCAGCGTCATGAACAAGGTCATCCAGATGCTGCCCGAGTTCACCGCCAGCCCCAAGAAGGAGACGCTGGTCCAGCTCATGCCCTTCTTCGTGTGAGTGACCTGGGCCCGTGGCCTGGGGGGGGTCCCTTCCCAAGGCAGCGCACGGCCACAGGCTTGGACAGTCCAAGGGGGGTTGGGCACGGGGGACCCCGGGGGGTGTCGGGGCTGGAACACAGGCCGGCCACGTGCACGACTGGCACCCTCCACTCAGTGCCGCAGCTCCGGTCCGGCGCCCGCCATGGTGGTGACCGTCCATGTCCCGAGCTTCCCGTGGCTCCCGGCATCCCTCCCTGTCACGGTCTTGGGGGACGCGGGGCTGGCGTCCCTGCTTCCCTCACCCGAGTCCTTCATGTTTTGGGGGTGAGAGAAAGGGCTGGACGCCCCCCACCCCTTTCCCAGATGGGCAGAGGGCCGGAAGCGTCCCTCACTCCCCTCCCTGTTTGCAGCCTGTGAAGCCCCCACTGATGCCGGTCAGCCCCGTGGGTGACCCCTGGAGGACAGTGGCTCCTCTGCACGGGCCCTGGTCACCGCATGCTGCTCACCCAAGGGGGCACCCAGGTGTTGGCGCCCCCGGCCCCTGTCACGTCATAAGGAAACTGCTCCCAGGGGTCCCCGACAGCACCCCCATTCCTGGAGACCCCCAACTCCCTCCTGCCTCCCCGCTCTGTCTTGCAGTGACGTGCACCCCCCTGGAGAGCCCCCGAACAAGGGCGGACGGCCCAGGCCTGCCTCACGCTTCTCCAAGCTGTCCCGCGGGCACCCCCGAGAGACACGCAGCGCTGAGCCCCAGAGTGGCGACCTCTGACCCCGACGGATGCCCTGCAGCGACTGCCTGGCGACCCCTTCCAAAGCGCCCTGTCCCTGCTGGCCGTGTGACCCCTGATTAAACTGGTCCGTCCCAGCGCACGACGGCTCCGGGGGACCGGACAGAGGGTGGACACCGCCGGACATGCCAGGCCCAAGGCGGGACCCCCAGTGCCCACCTCTTACGTGACCCGGGGGGAGGGCTCAGCCTCTCAGGGCAGCGTCTGGAAGGCTCCGAGGGAGGCAGGCACTGCCAAGGCCTGGGGGAGCCCTGGACAGTCTAGGAAGGGGCATGGGGGTCTTGGCTTCATGAGTCGGGGGTCTCCGGTGGGGCTGTCCCCGTCCAGAGGACCTGCCACCAGCCTCGAGACACGGGCTTGGGGGGATGGCACCCCCAGGTGGATCCCAGGGGTCTCTGTGCACCTCGACCCCCGCACGCCCAGCTCCTCGACGGGGAGTGGGTTGGGGGTCCCTGAACCACGGCCAGACACTCGCCGGGCAGTGCCTGGGCTGAAGAAACTTCCGGAAAGAATCAACTGGACGGTTTATGCCGCGGGACACTGCTAGCCAGAGGGGACGTCCCCGGAGCAGCGCAGGCGGGGACACGGGCACAGGCCTGCAGGGACAGAGGGCGCAGGCGGCGTCAGGGGCCAAACCTACAGCCGACGCTGTTCCATCACTGCCTGGCCGAGCGGGGGGTGGGGGGCTGGCTGCCCACTATGCTGTGCTCCTTCCCAGTCGCCATGTCCCCACCTACCCCCGGGTTCCTTCCTGGGCCCCCCCCCAAGCCCGTCTGGGTGTGCCTGGCCTGGCCTTTTCCCCGACCCCGGAGCACAGACACACCGTTCCCCAGGGACCACCGGCTTTGCACCCAGAACCATTTCCTCCCCACGCCCCTCCCCCTGCCCCTGCCCCTTTCCCCCACGGGCCACCCCCTGGCTTCTGGCTCCCACGGGACAGCGGAGCCTCCATGCCTTAACGTGGCTCCCGGGCAGAGTGTTCTGGCCCCCCACCCCCACCAGCCCAGGAAGCAGAGGACCCCTCTGGCCCAGGAGACTGGCCGCTGCCCAGGGAGGCTGGGGAGAGGCAGGGGGTCTCGGGCTGGCAGGGGCAGGAGCAGCCAGGAATCACCCCCACAGCCACAGTCCGGGGGTGACCCCACACCTGGGTTCGGGGCTCAGTGCAGGGACCCCCTTTTCTCCGCGTCCTGCACCGGGCAGTCGTGCCCGGTGGGCTCCAGGCCTCATGATAGCCCCCTCCTGCTCGCCTGCTCCCCAGCCCCCAGCCCACAGGACCCAGCAGGCACCTCCTGCGCCCGTCAGCCTGGTGGGCGTGGGAGCAGTTTCCTTCCAGAAGCTTCTCTCCGTCCCCGCTAATGGACCATGAGGAACAGACGGGGGTGAGGCCCACTCGGCCCCCACGGGACTCCCCTTCCCCCAGAACCCACTCGGCCCTCCTTGCCCACAGGCTGAGGACGCGTCGGTCTGCCCAGGGCCTGCATGGCCACCATGCATGGCCCTGTGGCCCTTTCATGCCGGAAATTCACGTTCCATCACACGTGTCTCCATGTCTCTCGAACCCCAGCTCCGAGACCAGCAGGAGTGTGGGGTCCTGGTCACCTCTGACCCCTCCCCGACCAGTGTCTGCTGAGAAGGACCGGCTGCTCCTGGAACTCTCCGGAAACTCACCTGATGGACAGAACACGCCCCTGTGGGCCCTGGGCAGCCCCGGGTGGCCTTCAGGGGAGCACTGGGGGGGAGGGCGGGGTGTGGCGTGGGGGCAGAGAGCTGCCCCCCTGCACCCCCAGGCCGAGGGCCCCCCCCATCCGGCGGCTCCCGTCACGGACCAAAGGGGGTGCGGATTCCCCTGGCACCCGCTTCTGTTACGGTTTACACCCCGGGATTTTTAGACAAATGTGTTTAATTTTCTACACACTCTTGTACTCCACTCCTCTTTGGACTCAGCCGCGGAGATTTTGTTGGTCGGACGCACCTTCTTACAAGCACAGAATAAACTTCAGCAACTTTTGTAGACGCTCGGCGTGTGCCCTGACCTGTGTCAGTGGGGGGGGGGGGAGGCGGTCACCTGCACCCGCATGGAGGGGCCGGAGGGGACCGACACCTGCGCTCGCTGAAGGGGACCCAACCCCCATGGTGACAGAACAAGATGCCACTGGCACAGACCCCTGGTGGCTCATGACCCCTGGTGGCTCATACTTTAACGTTTTTCTTTCTTTTTTTTTCTGGCCCACACCGGGTGGTGCTCGGGGCTTACTCCTGGCTCTGGGCTCAGGATCACTCCTGGTGGGGCTTGGTGGACCCTGTGGGGTGCCGGGGATCAAGCCTCGGTCGGCTGCGTGCAAGGCCTGCGCCTTCCCCACTGGCCTGTGGCTCCGCCCCTGTGTTGCTGGTCCCAGTGTTACAGCAACTCACCATCACCAGTGTGGCTGAGGACCCCCCCGACCCTGACACACGCAGCTCGGTCCAAGGTGGGTTTCAAGGAGGATGAGGGCCTGGGGAGAGAGCCGAGTGCCCCGCTCTGCAGCGGCAGAGGGAAAGGACCCCCAGCCGCCTTGCTGTGCAGACCCTCACCCCGGTTTGTTCTCCCAAACACTCGTCAGTGGCCACAGCCGCCAGAACAGCCCCGTCCTCTCCGCCCCCCATGGCTCCTACAGGGCCATGGGCTGGCCTGCGTCTCTGCCTCCCGAGAGTCCGCGGACCAGTGCTCTAGAGAGGGAGGGAGGAGGGACGGGAGGAAGGAAGGTGGACACAGTGCCCACGGGCCCCACTGCTCCGCGTGTTTCTGGGCACCCGCAGACCGTGGACGCCCCCGGGCAGGTGACACCTCCCAGGAAGCGCGTGCAGCTCCCTGTGGAGTGGCTCCGGCTGTTCGTCTTTGGGAATCAGTGTTCAAGCCCTGGCACAGTGCTCGGAAATGAAATGATTCTTTTCTTTAGAATCACCATTCTCAGGGCTGGAGCGATGGCACAGTGGGGAGGGCGTTTGCCTTGCGTGCGGCCGACCCGGGTTCGATTCCCAGCATCCCACAGGGTCCCCCAGGCACCGCCAGGAGGAATTCCTGGTGAAGAGCCAGGAGGATCCCCTGAGCATTGCTGGGTGTGACCCCCCTCCAAAAAAACAATCACCATTCTTGTCAGTACAGGAGCCCCGGGGGTGGGGGAGAAGCAGAAACCCGGGGCCCAGGCAGAGCCTCCGCCGCACCCCACAGACTCCCCCTGCTCTGTCACCTCCGACTCTGCTCTGAGAACCCCGGGTGCAGGGGAGGGAGGAGACTGTGGCCGGCTCCCAGGGACTCCCTCGGACACGAGCTGCTCATTGGGACTCACCCTGCCTGGTTTAGTTGATGTGTTTTGGGGTCACACAGCTGCACTGGGATGCCCCGTGTGGTGCAGGCGAGTCGCACGCATGGCTGTCTCAGATCGGGGGACAGACTTGCAGGCATGCCTGACTGCACAGCCTCAACAAACAAATGCTCGTGTGTGGGGCCAGGCCACAGTCCAGCGGGGAGGGCGCTGGCCTTGTAACACAGCCTACCCGGGTTCGATTCCCGGCACCCCATAGGGTCCCCTGAGCCCACCAGGAGTCAGCCCTGAGCAATGCCGGATGTGGCCCCTGATGAAAGCAGGTAGATAGGGAAAGGCCCCCCCCAATGAAACAATTCTCAAGCGAGAACCTGTGACCCATTCTTTTAGCTCAGAACTACCGAGATGGGCTTCCGCACAAAAGTGAGTGTGACTTTCGGGAAGGAAAATTGGGCTGAGACTCACCTGCTCCTGCCCCCACGAGCCCGTTCAGTGTCCTTGTCGCGTTTCCAGGGGCCCCAGCTGAGTCAGCAGTGGGCCGCCAGACTCCCGGCCCTCCCTGGACCCCCTGGATGTTGGGTGGGACTTGCACACTAGGGTCAGATGACCAGGCGGGTGGGCTCAGTGACTCTTTTCAGCCAGTCTCTTCCTGTCCCGCATCCTGGGTGAAGGCCAGGGGAGTGTGTGTGTGTGTGTGGGGGGGGGGGAGTTTAACTTCTTCATGCTGGCCGAGTGGCACCATCGTTGGTGGAAGATCGTGGATCTCGGTTGAGGGAGAGAAGAGTCTCGCCCTGCCCCTGGCTCGGGAGGGGGACGGAGGCCTTCGGGCCAGGATGTCAGGCTCCGGGTGGAGAAATGTGTGAGATCAGCGATTTAAGTCTCTCCAGGAAGTGGGGGGAAAGAGAGAGATTTAACCTAATGCGTGCGGAGAAATAGAAATCAATGAAACAGCACGTACCATGTAGAAAAATCGATGGAAAAGAAAATGGTTTCTTGATATGCTACAAGCTAGACCAGGGCAATAGGAATGAAATGAATTGTCCACACACTTAGCTAGGAGACAGCTGCTACGATCTCGGGCATGAAAACAGAGACTCAGAGAATATCACAGTGATTGCAGTAACGGACCACTGTAACGGAAGTTGGTGATCTCCGAGGGGAGCAGATGACCAGGCTAGCCAGGAAGATCCAGAAAAGCTGTGGGGGAAAGCTGCCTATTAAAACAGAGTGCAGGGGCCAGAGTGATAGCACAGTGGGGAGGGCATTTGCCTTGCATGCAGCTGACCTGGGTTCGACCCCCCCACCCCCCGCATCCCATATGGTACCCATGCACCGCCAGGAGTGATTCTTGAATGCAGAGTCAAGAGTCAGCCCTGAGCACTGCTGGGTGTGTCCCCCCCAACAAACAAAAAAACCCAAAATATTGAGTGCATAATGAAAAAGCAGGTCATAGAGAAAACGGCAGACCCCCAGGGCGTCACTGGTAGAATTCAGCCAACATTTCAGGAATTGGGGCAAAAAGTCCAAACACTTCATGGACTCACAGAACGGGGAGAGAATTGCTAAGTCATTCGAGGAGGCAAGATTCTAATATCAAAAAACAAAACAAAGGGGCTGGAGCGATAGCACAGCGGGTAGGGCGTTTGCCTTGCACGCAGCCAACATGGCCGACCCGGGTTCGATTCCCAGCATCCCATAGGG